GAGGGGAGGGGGAGGAGGAGGAGGAGGAGGAGGAGGAGGAGGAGGAGGAGGAGGCGGAGGAGAGGCGGAGGAGGAGGAGGAGGAGGAGGAGAGGAGGAGGAGAGGGGGGGAGGAGGGGAGGAGGGAGGAGGGAGGAGGGAGGAGAGAGGAGGAGGAGGGAGGAGGAGAGGAGGGAGGAGGAGGGGGAGGAGAAGGAGGAGGAGGAGGAGGAGGAGGAGGAGGAGGGAGGAGGAGAGGAGGAGGAGGAGGAGGAGGAGGAGGAGGAGGAGCCCCCGATAGCGAAGCCGCACGGTCCTGGGCGAGGTGGGCTATCAGGCCCCTGTCGGCGATCCATGAGCGACTGGGGGTTCTGTAGGAGGGGTGCCGTTGGGGCGACGGGACAGGAAAAAAATGGGGTCCCGAAGCCCAGACCCCCATCGCGTCGTGACAAAAAACATACCATATGAACGTTGCCTCTGGGGGCTCTCGCTAAGGCCATGGGGCCGTCAAAACATGGCTCGGGACGAAAGACCGGCCGGAAGGACACGGTCGGGACTCGCGGAGACCGGGAACCGAAAATGTCAAGACATCGCGTGTCTAAGTTGGGGGTCCCGAAACGGTGTGGCGGCAGATCGTGCGGTGACCCCGGAGACCCCCGCAGGCCTCACCGCACGGTGAACCACCGCATGGTTTTGGGATCTCGGAGGCCCCAGCCGCCAAAATCCCGAAGCAAACGGGGACACTGGATTTTGGTCGGGCCTGTCCCCTACATTTTGGGCGAAAAATCAAACATACTAAAGACATACCCCCAAAATGCTCAAAAATACGGAAAAATCGTCCCCAGACTATTTCTTTGACTATTTCTGAATATCCCTCCTGTAGAGGGACAGGCCCGACTTAACACTGGATGTCCCCCCGCCAAAGAAGACCTCGCCCCGATGAGGCCTCCGGAGGCTCCTGCGGGACCCCATGGAGGGTCGGAAAGTGCCACAGAAAGGCCAAACAAATCCACCCTCGATCCCCTGGCACGCCCAAAATTGATATGGAGAATGGTATGATGCCTAGCATTAGGTAGGGCATTTCACCCTGCAGGCTTATTTTGGCAAACAATGACAAATAATTTCAAACATGCTTTTAAACATGCCCCCGAAAAAAGTCAAAGAACCGTTATCCGACTATTGTTTGACTATTGTTGGAATATTCCTCCTGTAGAGGAGCAGGCCCGACTTGAGCCTAACAGCAAATGCCGTCCAAAACTGTTTGCGGCCGCTACTGGGCAAACGACATTTTCTTCCTGACTGGGTCCACTCCACAGCGACACCGACGGCGCGCCCGGTCCCAACTGGGCAGGATGTCCTGTCGCCCTTCGTCCCCCTTCTTCCGTATCCATTTCGACCGCTAGACCAAAAAAGCGTCATAAACAGAAGTTCGGGAAGACCGCGCGGATTGCGTGGTTCGGGATTGGGCCCCCCCTCCCCTGGCGCGCGGAGCGCGCCAGAGGAGCGGTGCCGGGCGGCGTCACGGGGGGGGGCCCCAACGCCGATCCAAGACATCCGCGCGGAGCTCCGACAATCACAGAGTTCTCGCACTGGCAACTCGCATGTACTGGGGTAGGGGTGGGATGTTGGTTCAGTGTAGCGATACCCTGCTCACTCTGGCGGGGCCTCCTTGGAAGGGTTGGAGAAACACGGAACCTGAGAAACTTGCTGGCCCAACGGGCCAGAGGCCTGCTGAGACTCTGGTACCTGGCTCACCGAGTACACGTAGATTCTAGTTCGCGCGCGAGGGGGCGGCCCCTGGGGTCCCCCAGGCGAGAAACCCCTGCAGACTCCCGGCACAGTCCGCTCAAGGATGCTGGAACTCACGAGGGCGATGTTCGACTCCCCCAATCTCGCCCGAGGAGCGTCCAAAGAGACCCCAAGGGAACTCCTAGAGGGCCCAATGAGTCCGCATCAATAGGTGGCAGGCCTCACGATGGCCCGAAAATAAACTCAAGGTGCCTCAATCTGGCCCCGAAAATAATCCCAAGGCGCTTCAATCTTGCCCACGAGGGTATTCAGAGGCCCCTCAACAGGGCTTCGACAAGCAAACTTTACAACTTCCGATGGAAGACGTAATTGTCAGCACTCTTGCGATTTCTGTCCAAGACTGCACGAGACGCACCTAAGATCGTCCCATGACGACCAACAAAAGGTCCCAAGAGAGCCCCGAGATGACCCCAAGATGCCAAGGCTCCCAGAGAAGCCGAAGAGGCGCCCACGAGGCCGTCAGAGGCCCCCAAAAAATGCCCCCAGGATGCCTCCAAGAGGCCCCACGGCGCCTCTGAGAGCTCCCGAGGGACTCCAAGGAATGTCCTCGAGGCCGCGAGAGGCTCCAAAAGGCCCCCGCCCCGGGGGCCCACGAGGCCCCCAAAGGGTTCCCGAGACGTCCGGGGAGGAGCAGCCTTTGAGGCCCCCAAGAGAGGCCCCCGAAACGTCCTCAAAAGGCTCCAGGGGGCCACAAACCTGCTCCCCCTCCTCCTCCCCCTCCACCTCCCCCTCCTCCTCCCTCTCCTCCTCCTCCTCCTCCTCCTCCTCCTCCTCCTCCTCCTTCCAAAGACCCCGGCAGGCCTCCCACGAGAGGCGTGACGCCTCCCAAAGAGGCGCCGAAGGAGGCAGGGGCGGTGCGGTGCGCCGAAGGAGGTCGGGGGAGCAGGAAGACCTCCTCCTCCTCGATTCGTTCGCCGCAAACACAAGCAACATGTAGCACCTGTCACTCGCTATGGTCCCGCGATCTAGCACCTGTCATTCAACATGGCCCCGCGATCACACCAACATTCATCTAGAGGCCCCCAGGACACCCCAAAAGACCCACAACGGCACAAACGAAACACAGGCAACCCGCCTGAGAACCCACGGCTGCCTAGACAACACCGCAGGGCTCTCCGACAGACCCCCAGGAAGCAGTTCCACAGTAACTGTTTCACCTCCGACGCTCGCCACGCACCGCCTCCAGAAAATGGCAGCCGCCCAGCGGCACGGCATTGACAACAACACTCGGCGGCGACGATGGGGGAGAGTAACCCAGGAGCGGGCGGGCATTACACGGATTCGCCCGGGAGCCTTGTCGAAGACGTAGATCATCGGCGACCCTGGATACATGTATTGCTATTGCTCTCCCCTGGGCTATTCGCCCCTATCGTCGCCACTGGAACACCAAGACAAACGACAGCGGCGAGACACCATGGGCCGGCGGAGTGAGCGAAGCGATCCTATAGTGTTGTATAGCGATGCCCTGCTCGCTCGGGCGGGGCCTCTTTGGAGGGCTCGGAGGAGCATGAAATCTGAGAAATGGCATGGTATAGCGATACCCTGCTCGCTCTGGAAGGGCCTCCCTGGAGGGGTTGAAGGAACACGAAACCTGAGAACTAGTATGGTGTAGCGATCACCGCCTCGTTCTGGCGGGGCCTCCCTGGAGGGGTGGGCGAAGCGCGAAACTTGAAAAATAGTATGGTGTACTGATCCCCTGCCACACGTTCGTAACTTGGGAAAGCTGGAATTGTGAGAGTCCCATAGCCCAGCCACACGTTCGTGAGTTAGGACTGCTGCATTGTCAGAACTCCATGTCCCTGCCACACGTTCGTGACAGTATTGCTACTCAACATCAGAAGCTTGCAACGTCGATTATTATTTTCCCTGGCGATAATGAAGGTCGGCCTCGACGCCCCTTTCCCCCGACCAGATCTGTCTTGGCCCAGGATAGGCAACTCTTGGGGTTTGTGGGAGGGGGTATACTTCATTACTCGGGGCATGCGGTCATCCAGTCTTTCTTCGGCGCGTTGGTTCTGGCGACGAGAACGGAATCAAGAAACGTCTCAACAAAAGACGGAAAACTCCTGAGATCTGTCGGGGGTCTGCTAACCCGGTCAATCCAGATCCGGGTCAGCAAGAAACCAGCAAAATGCTTTGCAGGGAGAGGAAAAAACTGCAACGCAGGGCGTCGCAAACCCGGGTCAGCCAATATGCGCGGCCACCTCGCGGCTCGCTAACCCAGGTCAGCCAGAGGGGGTCTTCGCAGGAAACTTCAGGATCCAGTGCCCTGGCTGACCCCCGCTTGCATTAACCCCCGTCTCTGAAGCTCCGAATCTTGGAAAAGTTCGTGGCCCCGGCCATGATGTCCACCCCCCTGGCCGCCACCGAGGTAGACCAGGAGACGCCCGTCGTCGTGACTGCTTCGTTCTTGCGACGGTGCACCCGTGACGCCGGAAATGCACCGGCGACGACGCCGCCGTGGCGAGAGCCGGGCCGTCCTCCGACCACATCTGCGAAGACTCCACTCTGGGAGGCCTGGCGCTGTGGTCTTACGACCAGCGGGCGGCTGTAGACAAGCGCGTCCCACTGTTCGCAGAGTAGCTGCTCGCACATGGCCAGGATCTGCCGCTGGGGATCTACGATCCGCTACATAGAGGAAGACGTGATGTTTTCAAACTGTTGCACGTGATTAGGCACTCTGCGAGTAGCGGAACGCGCTCGGTGAGGCTGGGCATCTGAGTGGGCCCTGGAAACAACGAAACCGTGTTTTTACCGATTCCGTTTTGCAATTTGCTTTCCGGTTCCGTCGCCGTTTTGTTGCCGGTTCCGTCGCCGTTTTATGTCCGCTTCCGGTTCCCACTCCCACCTTGGAGTCGTTTTCATTGCCGTTTTTTGCCGCCTCCACTTTCGAACGGCACCTTCTCGAAAGCGGTGAAATAACGGCCCTGCCGCTTCTGGGGCCCACTGGTAATTAGGGAAACGGGCAATTACAGAAACAATGACGTTTCCCTAACTTCGGCTACACGCAGGAGTGACCCTGGGTAAGAGTGACCTTTGGTGCGCGGCTTTGTGGGGGCCGCGGGGGGACCAAGCACAGGCGCGCATGGAGCTACCATCGCATCGCGTTCGGCGATCGGGGGGGCCCACTGGGCCCGCACCAAAGGTCACTCTGGCGACAGGTCACTCCTACGTCTAGCCGATACCTGGGCACGCCGCTGCCTCCTCTTCGGCTCACGCTGCCGGGTAGCCCCCGCTGCCGGGAGCGCCGCCGGGGGCCGCCCCCGTAGGAGCGGCCGCCGTGCCGGCGGCCTCGCCGCCACCGCCGAAGGGGACCCCGGCGGCGTCCGCGACGGCCTCTGGGGGGGAGGAGGGCTCCTCCTCTGTTGGAAGGGGGTGAGGAGGAGGAGAAGGAGGAGGAGGAGGAGGAGGGAAAGAAGGAGGAGGAGGCGGAGGAGGAGGAGGGGGAGGCGGAGGAGAAGAAGGAGGAGGTGGAGGAGGAAATGGAGGAGGGAAGCGACAAAAGCGGTCTCCTGTCCCCTCTGCCCCTGTTGCGCGCTTTGCGTTCCATATTTATATCCATAACCTGCTGCGTCTTGGATTTTCTGGATGAGGCGCAACGGATAGGGCAAGAAGAGGAGCATCCAGGGGCTAGATTTTGATCCGCCTCCACTGCGCCTCGGGTGTCTGGGCAAGGGTGCCCGAAACTCGAAGATGCAGCGAAAACAACAAAAGTGAAGGGGCCCAGAGACACACAGCTACATAGACACAAGCCCCAGGATTCCCAATCTGATCCATATTTCCCAGAATGTTGTCTTCCCATGAATCTCCCATATCTTCCATATTTGCATGGAACTCGACGATTACTTGAGTATGCGTCTTTTTCCCAACTGAAGCATATCCTGTCCTCTGCCATCGTCCTTCAGACGACATCGAACTATCCATCTGGACCTCCAGGCGAGAGCTAGTCGGGAAGATGATCAATCTTCGCCCCGTCGCCTTTCCGCGCGCTGCCGAAGGGCTCGACGCTTGCGCCAGCCGCCCACATGAGTCGTGATGCTCATGAGCGGTGTCCCGACGCAATTCCGAACTGGTGCGAGGGCGAGGAGCATCGAGGAGCAGACGAAAGAAAGGCATGAATTCTTGAAGGTCCGTGCTGGCCTTCTGGCCGGGCGCTGGGCCTCCCTGGCGGGCGCATCGCGCCACGGGCGGTGCCGGAGGCGCCGCCAGGGAGGCCCAACGTCGACCCCCGAGCAGTGACATTGATGCCGGTGTCCGTTCTTCTGGAGGAGAGGCTTGAGGTATCCACCGAGTCGACTGATGCGCTGCCCGCTGGGGAGGCTTGGGGAGCTCCCGGGGTCGAGAGTTACAAGAAGTTGTTGCTTGCGCGGTTGCTCGGGCGCAACCCCAACTTCTTCCTCGCAGGGTGGATCTGACTGAACTGACTGACCTGATCTGAACTGAACTGACCGGTCGCACCCGTTAGGCCGCCGTTTTATTTTCTGCGGCCGAGGGCGCAACCTATGGCGCAACCAATCGGAGGCAGCTTGATTCTCGGCAGCCGAGGGCGCAACCTTTGGCGCAAGCGATCGGAGGCAGTTTTATTTTCGGCGGCTATTCTCTTTGGCGCAACCAATAGGAGGCAGATTTACTCTCGGCGGCCGAGGGCGCAACCTATAGCGTAAGACGCAAGAAATTCGAGGCCGTTTTACTCTCGGCGGCCGAGGGCGAAACCTACGGCGCAAGCAATTAGAGGCCGTTTTAATTTCGGCGGCCACTCTCGGCGGCCGAGGGCGCAACCTACGGCGCAACCAACGGGAGGCCGTTTTATTCTCGGCGGCCGATGGCGCAACCTATGGCGAAACCAGTGCGAGGCCGTTTTATGTTTGGTGGCCGCGCGCGCAACCTATGACTCAACCAGCAGCACCGACAACACTCGTTACCGCAATATCCGCTTCGTTGGACAATATATTTGAGGAGGAGGAGGAGGGCAAGGATAAACAAGATAGACAAGATAAACCAAATGAGCAGGTCCTACCTCTACCGTGTAGAAGGAACCTGACAAGGCCCCAAAGGCCTCCACGTGGTCGGGTGCTGGCCCTTCCACAGACGATTCAGTCTGCCATGTGCAGTGGCTCGTTGACCCTTGCACTCGCTCCTACTGAGACCCTGCCAACGCCGCTGAGCGTAGGAGAAGGATGACCACGTGGAGTTGGAGGAGAGGGAGGAGGGGGAGGAGGAGGAGGAGGAGGAGGAGGAGGAGGAGGAGGAGGAGGAGGGGCGCAAGGAGGAGGACGAGGAAGAAGACGAGGACGATGTGGAGGAGGGGCCCAAACTGGCTGGACGCGAGACTGCGTACGGGGTCACGCCCGATGTATGCTCGCCATTTGGGCTGGTGGTGGGGCCCAAGCGGCGAGCTGTCTTGTGATTGGTGATTCTGGGGCGGTTTCCCAGCCCCGGGGTGCGTTCCAGCGGCTTCTCCTCGCCGAACGCGTTCTGGGAATACCGGCATCGTTGTTCCGCACGGCCTCTTCAGGGGCCCGAGCTGTGACCCAAAAATTATAACCTTAGGTCGGGCGTGTCCTCCTACAGGCGGATCTTGGGCGAAACATAAAGCATAGTCAAAACATGCCCAACAATGGTCAACAATAGTCGAAAGATCGTCCCCAGACTATTCTTGTCTCTAGGTTTGAGCATCCTCCTGCAGAGGGGCACGCCCGACTCAACCTACCCTCGGCGGCGCTCCGGGGGCGGGCAGTGCGCTGGGGCATGCCTGCCCAGAAGGCGGAAGGGGCTCCTCAGAAGCCCTCCCCGACCCTCCGAGAAAACGCCTGCTTACCTGCCTGGAACATATCCCTATCCCTATGCTGGGCACCTCCTCATCACGATGCCAATCTTAGGGATTCCCCTATTTTTTAGGGCGAAGCCCTAAGATTGTCATCGCCTTTTGGCGTGTCAATCTTAGGGATAGGGATACGTTCGAGGCTGGTAAACCTGCGGATTCGGAAAAGGTCACTGAACCGACCTTGCAGACGTGCTGCGACGCACTGCTGCGTGGATTTTTCTGCCATGGCACAGTCCCGACGCGGCGAGCGAAAAACGACGTGGATTACACGCGGATTGCTTGTAGTCTTCACCAATCCTGGCCGAACTAACATCCCCACGATATTCACTTCGAAGTCTGGAGCGAAAGTAAATTCTCCAGGACACTCTGGGCCCATCTCAATGTTTTCCGAGCGAAATCCGCTCTGACACCTTGACCCTGAACCCTAAACCCAAAATCCTAAACCCGAACTTCTCAGCAAGCTGGAGGCCTCCCCAGGCCTTCTGAGAGAAGGCGGGGCGCGCCGCCGGTGTGCCACCGAATCGATCGGTGCCACGCCGAGACGTCGGCACGCGATCGCCGCACTGGCCGAACATCGCACGCAGGCCCTTCGCCCCTTCAGAGGTCGGCCTCTTCTCGGGGGCTCGCTGACCTGGACTCGCGATCCATGGATGTGGCGCGCGGTCGCCAGATCCATGGATCGGGGGAGGTGCCCTCCCCGACAGTGCGGCCGTGCCGCCTCGTCCGGCGGCGGAAGTGTGCGATCTCCCATGGAAACGGGGCCCGTCGCTAATCCACGCCCCCTCGATCCACGCTTGCGGACGCCTGATCCGTGCCGCGTCCATTCCCTGCCCGCTCCTCCGCTGGATCCCCCCCCCCCTCGCCTCCCCTCCCTGGGAGGCCACGCAAATGGGGCCCGAGCAGGTGACGTCCGAGGAGCGCGCCGCATTGCCCACCGCCGATGCATCGGCTGTGTCGGCGATGTCGCGAGGGAGAACGCCGGACTGCGAGCCGAGCCCTGTCGACGAACGGCTGGCCTTCAGACCCCACGGGGGGGGGAGGAGGAGGAGGAGGAGGAGGAGGAGGAGGAGGAGGAGGAGGAGGAGGAGGAGGAGGAGGAGGAGGAGGAGGAGGAGGAGGAGGAGGAGGAGGAGAAGGAGGAGGAGGAGGAGGAGGAGGAGGAGGAGGGAGGAGGAGGAGGGGGCGTCCCCCCCGGGCACCAGCACGGCCCGAGTCCTGCGAGCCCGCGCAGAGCCTTCCAGCTGCTGCTGAGGAGCTCGGCGTGTGCCGGCGGCGCGCCGATGGGGGGATGACGTGAGAGGGGTTGGGCTTCGGTCGGGCATGTCCCCCTGCAGGCGGATTCTGGACGAACAAAAATAAATACCCCAAAAATAACACAGACACACACACACACACACGCACACACACGCACACAGAAAAAAACGCAAATCAAAAGTTGACACAAAACATCGTCCCCAGACTATGTTTCGACTATGTTTGCAGATTCTTCCTGTAGAGGGACAGGCCCGACTGAAGGGTAATTAGGCCTTCTCAGGATGCGGCTGGGCTTTGGAGAAGGTTAAGGAAGCTTCTCAGGACCTTCCGATCCTTTTGAGAAGGCCCGCCCCTTCCGCCCTCCCAGGAGAGCCCAGAATCGAATCGACAAGCAGAATCGGCGATCGAAATGAATCGGAACGGCGGAGATCGGCAGCCGAGTCGGGAAAAGTCGAATCGGTAGACATCGGCAGGCTAGTGGGCCTCCATTGAGAAATCGGGTCCCAAATCGGAATCCGATGTCGAGTCGAGTCGGGATGGGAATCCATCAGAATCGAATCGAACCGAATCGACTCGGAGGAGTCGAAACGAGCCCTGCCTTCCGAGCCAGGCCAAGACGTCGCCGCGCGACCGTCGAGCCGATCGCGGCACACAGACACACACACACACACAGTGCGAGCGCGGAGGAGGAGGAGGAGGTGGAGGAGGAGGAAGGAGGAAGGAGGAGAGGAGGAGGGAGTAGGAGGAGGAGGAGAAAGAGGAGGGGGAGAGAGAGAGATAGAGAGAGAGAGAGAGAGAACGCTACAGGCAGTGCTCCACACACGCCACACACACACACACACACGGACGCGGGGCCCCTGCGCTCTTCCCGAGAGGAGAGTTTCCTTTTTTCCGAGCCATGGCGTGGCCCAATACGACCGGGTTCCGAGCTCGGCGCATGGTGCATTGCGAGCGCGGAGGAGGAGGAGGAGGAGGAGGAGGAGGAAGAGGAGGAGGAGAAAAGGGAGAAGGAGGAGGAGGAGGAGGAGGGAGGACGAGGAGGAGGAGGAGGGCGAGGGCAGAGGAGGAGGGAGGAGGTTGAGGAGGAGGAGGAGGCGGAGGCGGAGGCGGAAGAGGAGGAGGATGAGGAGGAGGAGGGAAGAGGAGTAGGAGGGGGAGGAGGAGGGAGGAGAAGGAGGGAGGAGAAGGAGGGAGGAGGAGGAGGAGGAGGAGGAGGAGGAGGAGGAGGAGGAGGAGGAGGGAGGAGGAGGAGGAGGAGGAGGAGGAGGAGGGAGGAGGAGGGGGAGAAAGAGAGAGAGAGAGAGAGAACGCCACAGGCAGTTCTCGCGAAGTTTGCCCGACGTATACAAAAAGAGGGGAACGCTGTCGCAAAGACCATCGCAAGAAAACCCGCGCGAGAGGTACACCTGAGGGGAAAGCTGGAGCACCCTGAGCACATCAGCTTCTTTACGGCCGCGGCCGTGGGAACCTTGGCAGAAAACAGTTGGCTTCTTGATGCGCGCCTCCACTGTGGGGGACGAGCACGATGTCATGACAGGAATTGCTCAGGATGCGTTCAGAGCTTTCCAGAATGTCTAGCGGCCCTCGCTTCTGGAGCCTGTGCGGTACGCTGTGAAACCTTTTGACGTCTATGGAACCGCGGACAACTTGGAGCGAGCCAGCATCACGACCTCCTGCTCCTCGGCTTACATGCAACGCCCATGCTACGGGACGCTGGAGCGAATAGGTACGCACCGACGTTTTTCGCCGAGCACGTCGGCTCCTCTGCCAGCAACACGTCGCGGTGTGCTGGAGGCGGCCACAGGCTCTGAACTCATTGGCATCCGGCACCCCAGGAAATCTGCCGGGAGGGGGAGATGAGATCAACTGCCCTCAAAGTCGGCCCCTGGACGCCTCCTCCTCCTCCTCCTCCTCCTCCTCCTCCTCCCATCCCCTTCCCAGGAGGAGGAGGAGGAGGAGGAGGAGGAGGAGGAGGAGGAGGAGGAGGAGGAGGAGGAGGAGGGGAGGAGGAGGGGGAGGAGGAGGAGGAGGAGGAGGAGGAGGAGGAGGAGGAGGAGGGGAGGAGGAGGAGGAGGAGGAGGAGGAGGAGGAGGAGGGGGAGGAGGGGGAGGAGGGGGGAAGAGGAGGAGGAGAAGAAGAGGAGTTGGATCAGGAGGAGGAGGAGGAGGAGGAGGAGGAGGAGGAGGGGAGGAGGGGGAGGAGGAGGAGGAGGAGGAGGAGGAGGAGGAGGAGGAGGAGGAGGAGTTTTCGCAGCCCCAGGGCCCGAGAGCAGCCCTTGGATACCGAACAAGCCAAAACACCCTTCCAAGACCCAGAACCTCGGACCTGCCCACCCTTCCTGCTGGCACGAGCCAGTGCTGGGCCACCTCAGACGCCCAGACGGCTCCAAGTGGTGCAGATGCGCCAAGCCCCCCATCCGAACCTTGTGAGCCGCAGCCCAGTCGCAGTCCACCGCCCAGACGGTGCCCTCGTGGGACTCAACCTCGCTGGCGCAGTAGCCGTCGCTGAAGTCCCAGACGCGGATGCTGGGGGGGACCGGGGGGCGGGGGGAGGAGGACGAGAAGGACGAGGAGGACGAGGAGGAGGAGGAAGAGGTGGAGGAGGACGAGATAAGGGAGGAGGAGGAGGGCGAGGGAGGGGGAGAGGAGGAGGAGGAGGAGGAGGAGGAGGAGGAGGAGGAGGAGGAGGAGGAGGAAGAGGAGGAGGAGGGAGGAGGAGGAGGAGGAGGAGGAGGAGGAGGAGGAGGAGGGAGGAGGAGGGCGAGGGAGGGGGGGGGGCGTCGCGCGGCGCAGTGCGGGCACCTGCGGGGCAGCGGGATGAGGTCGAGCTGCCGCCACGGGGCGCGCTGCACAGCTGCAGGGAGAACGAGCGGCCGAGGCCACGTTGCACGGCGAGAACCTCGGCCACGAGTGGGCTACCCGACCTGACCCTCAGGAGCGGCACGGAACGTTACAACTACTGCATGAACAAAACAGCATCCGACGACCACGTCTGTCTTCCCCTCCTGCAGGGTGACCTCCTCCTCCTCCTCCTCGTCCTCCTCCTCTTCTCCTCCTCCTCCTCGTCCTCCTCCTCCTCCTCCTCCTCCTCACCCACAGGACGCCCCGAGTCCCTCGTCGTCGGACACCTCTGGGAGCCCTCGCCGCGCCCTGGCCGCCTCCCGTTCCCGCTGCCAGATCCGGGTCTCCACGTCCCCCTACCAGGGGGCGAGAAGGGGGGGGGCGAAGGGATGGGGAGAGGGAGGGGGCAGTGCAACCACCGCGTGCCACATGCTCAAGGAGCTGCACGGTCCCTTCCTTCACTTGTCACACGAGAGGGGAGCGGGAAGAAGAGGTGCAGCAGGGAGGGGAGGGGGAAGGGGAGGTGAAGAGGGGGAGAGAGGAGGAGGAAGGAGGAATGGGAGAGGAGAGGAGGAAGAGCCAAGAGGGAAGAGAGAAAGAAACTTGGGGTGGGGTGCCCATCCGAGGATAGATACCCCGCCCGAGGCTGCGATCCACCTCGGGCGGGGCCAAACGTCAGGGCACCCCGCCCCCCTTACGTCACCCGAGGTCTTCCTCGGAATGGGAGTCGCGCCGCGCACGCGCCGTAGCCCTGGCCTCCAGAGCTTGGATACCGATGCGCTCAGCCCCGCTGCGCTCGACAAAGCCAAACGCACGGAGGACGACCAAGAGCTCAACACGAGACGGCGGCCATTGCTGCAGGAAATGGAGAAACCTTCCCCGCGCGATAGGCTCTCTCGCCAGGAGCAACGCGCTTCCTCGCTGTGCTCCTCTGGTTGTCTAACTCCTGGCGCTCTCTCCCTGTCTCTCCCTCTCTCCGATCTTCTTCCTCTCCCATCCCCTGCGCCACCCCCTCCCTCATCCCTTCTCCCCTGCCTTGTTGGCCTCCATTCCTTCACCCATGGAGGGAGCGAGAGAAGAAGGAGCAGGAGAAGGAGCAGGGTGAGAAGCCGTCCTCCCGGTGGGGATCTTCACCTCGAGCAGTCTGCAGATTGCCCCTCTCCTCGTTCCCCTCCGGCCTCCTCCCTCGCCGTCTCTGTCCCCCCCCCCCCGCCTCCCCCTTCCGTTCCCACTCCTGTCTCCTTCGGGACAAGTCCGACGACCTCTGAAAAATAAAAGGAGCCACCCCCCCTAGACCCCCAACAAAGACGCACTCTTTCTCCATCCTCGTCCGCCTCCGTGCCCCTCCTCCGTCCGCAGCAACATCTTTGCTCGTTCTCCTCGTCCACTCGTCCTCCTCCTCCACCTCCTCCTCCTCCTCCTCCACCATCCTTGCTGGTCCCTCGCCAGTCATATCTCGTTACGCTCATCCCTCGCCGCCCTCCTCCCACTTCGCACTCCTCCCGCGGTGTCCTCTCCTCCTTCGCCGCCCTCCTTCCTCATCGTCGTCGTCGTGCTCCTCCTCCTCCTCCTCCTCCTCCTCCGCGTCGCTCTCCTCACTTGCGACACTTGACCTCCTCCTCCTCCTCCTCCTCCTCCTCCTCTTCCTTCTCTTCCTTCTCCACCTCTTCCAACTCCTCCCTGATCTCGATAGTCCTAGCCGTCGTCCCCTCGGCTACACGCAAGCATGACCCTGGGCAAGAGTGACTATTGGTGCGCAGCTTCGGGATTGCGCGAGGGGGCCAATTCAAGCCAGCAAGCCGCTTCAGGCCAGTGCTGAGGGGACCCTCGAGTGCCCGCACCAGGGGCCAGACCGGCGAAGGGTCACTCTTGGGGAAACCAAGAAGAACCGATACACCGCTAACCCCGCGGACCTCTCCTGGGGTGCGTCCTGACCAGGAGTTCCAGGCGAATCCGGCAGTGGCGCCGAGGGCCTCCAAGGAGGCCCAAGAGGGGGAAAACGGGAGAGGGGGCAGAGGTTAAGGGCACCTCTTCCTCCTCCGAGCTCTTACGCGAAGGCGACTTCAATTCTCGCTGCACCCAACTTGCAGACATGCTGCAGCGGATTTTGGCGTGGATTTCTGTCAATGCAAAACCCCAGCACGGCGAGCGAAAAACGAAGTGGATTCCACGTGGATGTTTCGTTTGTCTTCATTCCTGGCCCAAAAAGCCGCACGAAATTCACCTCGAAACCCGGAACGACATTTTCCAGGACACGCCGAGCCCATCCTACTGTTTTCCAAACGAAATGTATGTTGCTCCCATCGTCCTTAAGGACCACATCCCGGAAATAATTTCGAGCACCCAGAAACGAGTAGAAAGAGTGTCGAAACAGTGTCGAAACAGTGTCGGACGAGTGTCTCCCAGGGCCCGACACGTGAAAACCATCGAGTTTGTGGGTACTTTGTTGGTGCTCGACATTCTTTCTGGTGCTACAGGCTGAAATAGGTTGGAACATCATAAAATGAGATTCGCTCTGCGATGTTGGCGCCATTCTCCTGCTCCTCCTCAAGCCGCCGCGGGGGCGCGCCGGTTGTCCCCTGGGCCCGCGCCGCTCGCCATGCGGCGCCCGGCCCAGTCGACCGACCTCGGCTTCTGACGGGGCTCCAGGTCACTCCTCGCGCCTCGTGCTTCAAAGGCCTCGCAAAGGAGCGACGAAACAGAAGGGGTCTTATCACTGCACCGACCTTGCAGACGTGCTGCAGAGCATTTTTGCTTGGATTTCTGCCATGACAAAATCTCGAAGCGGCGATCCTGACTCCCAAAAAACCGCACGAAATCTATTTCGAAATCCAGAACGAAATTCTCCAGGACACTCCAGGCCCATCCTAGTGTTTTCCGAACGAAATCCGCTCTGCGATGTTGGCGCCATGAGTCTTATGCGAGATCACGAACTTACGCAAACGCTTGAGTGCGTCGCCAGCGCGTCCCGCTTTATCGGGAGCGAGGGCACTCACGCGCGACCTTACGCGGGACGCTTGCGCGCGAACGTCGGCGCAATCGATTCCGTTGTTCTGTCTCTCCCACCTCGTGTTTGAGAGGTCTCCCAAACGGAGTCCGAGTAGGTGGAGATGCAGGATTGCTCCGCATCGCTGATGCATCGGCGATGCGGCTCGCTGTGGATACCGTTTTGCTTCACGCCGACGTCGCAGATGCATCGCTGGCGTCGCCGATGCATCGCCTATAGTCGACCGACCTCGGCCTCTCACGGCGATCCAGGCCGTAGCCAGTTCGGCTCGAGGGCTTCGCAAGCGAGTCTGGAGCCATGTTCGAAGGGCCCTGGCCTGGCCGACCGCCTTCGTGTCAGGCTGCGTCGAGACGCGCAGCAACACACCACGAGAAACGATCATCATCACCACCACCCTCACCATCACCATCACCACCACGACCATCATCATAATCATCATCACCACCACCACCACCACCACCATCGTCATCCTCATCATCATCGTCATCAACACCGTCATCGTCATCGTCATCGTCATCGTCATCGTCATCATCATCGTCATCATCATCGTCAGTGTCGTGCTTCGGCGCGCACCCTGGGGATCCCCGGACGGAAAGTACGCGGACGGACACCCAACAGACTCTGGATCAGAGATGGCGGAACTCCCGGGCGCGGTTCTGGAGGCTCCCAAATCGCTCTAGGAGCGCCCCAAAGAGGTTCCAGATGGCTCCGAGTCGCACACTGATCGCTCCCAGATGTCTCAGATGGCCTCCGGACGGCCCCACAGGCCTCCAATGTCCAAGACGCCTCCAAAACGCCTCCGAATAGAGCCCCAAGAGGCAACCATCGTTACATTTCCTTCGTGACATATATATTGTTGTACCCGATTCGCCTCCTCAGCCTTCGCAACGGCCACGACAGCCCCAGGGGCTCCCAAGATCGCCCCAACACCGCCGAAGAGGCCCCCAAGAAGGCTCCAAGACAGCCCCAAAAAGCCTCAAGACGGTTCTACAAGGCCCAAGACTGGCCAAGACGGCCTCCAGACTGCGCCAAGAGAGGCAAAGAGGAGGAATTATAACAAACATTTCGAACCTTCGGGCCCCAGATGCACGGAGGAAGCTGCAGGACGCTTCCAAGAGGGCCCAAGAGGCTCCAAGAGACGCCTCCGAAGAGAGCCCCAAGAGGCAAACATCGCTTCTTTCCTTTCGCAAAAACGTATGTTTTCCCCAGATTCGTTCCTCAGCTGTCGTAGCGTGCAAGACTGCCGCAGAGGCTCACAAGATCGCCCCAACACCGCCGAAGAAGCCCCCCCAAGAAGGCTCCAAGACAGCCCCAGAGAGCCTGAGAGCCTCAAGACGGTTCTAAAAGGCCCAAGACTGGCCAAGACGGCCTCCAGACCGCGCCAAGAGGGGCAAAGAGGAGGAATCATAACAAACATTTCGAACCTTCGGGCCCCAGATGCACGGAGGAAGCTGCAGGACGCTTCCAAGAGGGCCCAAGAGGCTCCAAGAGACGCCTCCGAAGAGAGCCCCAAGAGGCAAACATCGCTCCGTTCCTTTCGCAAAAACGTATGGTTTCCCCAGATTCGTTCCTCAGCTGTCGTAGCGTGCAAGACTGCCGCAGAGGCTCACAAGATCGCCCCAACACCGCCGAAGAAGCCCCCAAGAAGGCTCCAAGACAGCCCCAGAGAGCCTCAAGACGGTTCTACAAGGCCCAAGACTGGCCAAGACGGCCTCCAGACTGCGCCAAGAGGGGCAAAGAGGAGGAATCAGAACAAACAGTTCGAACCTTCGGGCCCCAGATGCACGGAGGAAGCTGCAGGAAGCTTCCAAGAGGGCCCAAGAGGCTCCAGGAGACGCCTCCGAAGAGAGCCCCAAGAGGCAAACATCGCTCCGTTCCTGTCGCAAAAACGTATGTTTTCCCCAGATTCGTTCCTCAGCTGTCGTAGCGTGCAAGACTGCCGCAGGGGCTCACAAGATCGCCCAAACACCGCCGACGAAGCCACCCCAAGAAGGCTCCAAGACAGCCCCAGAGAGCCTCAAGACGGTTCAAAAAAGCCCAAGACTGGCAAAGACGGCCTCCAGACCGCGCCAAGAGGGGCAAAGAGGAGGAATCATAACAAACATTTCGAACCTTCGGGCCCCAGATGCACGGAGGAAGCTGCAGGACGCTTCCAAGAGGGCCCAAGAGGCTCCAAGCGACGCCTCCGACGAGAGCCCCAAGAGGCAAACATCGCTCCTTTCCTTTCGCAAAAACGTATGTTTTCCCCAGAGTCGTTCCTCAGCTGTCGTAGCGTGCAAGACTGCCGCAGAGGCTCACAAGATCGCCCAAACACAGCCGAAGAAGCCCCCAAGAAGGCTCCAAGGCAGCCCCAGAGAGCCTCAAGACGGTTCTAAGGCCCAAGACTGGCCAAGACGGCCTCCAGACTGCGCCAAGAGGGGCAAAGAGGAGGAATCAGAACAAACAGTTCGAACCTTCGGGCCCCAGATGCACGGAGGAAGCTGCAGGAAGCTTCCAAGAGGGCCCAAGAGTCTCCAAGAGACGCCTCCGAAGAGAGCCCCAAGAGGCAAACATCGCTCCGTTCCTGTCGCAAAAACGTATGTTTTCCCCAGATTCGTTCCTCAGCTGTCGTAGCGTGCAAGACTGCCGCAGAGGCTCACAAGATCGCCCCAACACCGCCGAAGAAGCCCCCCAGAAGGCTCCAAGACAGCCCCAGAGAGCCTCAAGACGGTTCTAAAAGGCCCAAGACTGGCCAAGACGGCCTCCAGACCGCGCCAAGAGGGGCAAAGAGGAGGAATCAGAACAAACAGTTCGAACCTTCGGGCCCCAGATGCACGGAGGAAGCTGCAGGGAGCTTCCAAGAGGGCCCAAGAGGCTCCAAGAGACGCCTCCGAAGAGAGCCCCAAGAGGCAAACATCGCTCCGTTCCTGTCGCAAAAACGTATGTTTTCCCCAGATTCGTTCCTCAGCTGTCGTAGCGTGCAAGACTGCCGCAGAGGCTCACAAGATCGCCCCAACACCGCCGAAGAAGCCCCCAAGAAGGCTCCAAGACAGCCCCAAAGAGCCTCAAGACGGTTCTAGAAGGCCCAAGACTGGCCAAGACGGCCTCCAGACCGCGCCAAGAGGGGCAAAGAGGAGGAATCAGAACACACATTTCGAACCTTCGGGCCCCAGATGCACGGAGGAAGCTGCAGGAAGCTTCCAAGAGGGCCCAAGAGGCTCCAAGAGACGCCTCCGAAGAGAGCCCCAAGAGGCAAACATCGCTCCGTTCCTGTCGCAAAAACGTATGTTTTCCCCAGATTCGTTCCTCAGCTGTCGTAGCGTGCAAGACTGCCGCAGAGGCTCACAAGATCGCCCCAACACCGCCGAAGAAGCCCCCAAGAAGGCTCCAAGACAGCCCCAAAGAGCCTCAAGACGGCTGTAGGACCCCCCAAGACAGGCCGAGACGGCCTCAGGACTGCTCCTCGAAGGGTCCAAAGGAGGTACCAGAACGGACATTTCGAATCTTCGGCCTCCAGACGCCCCGAGGAAGCTCCCGGAAGCTTCCAAGAGGCTCCAAGAGGCTCCAAGAGACGCCTCCGAAGCGAGCCCCAGGAGGCACAAATCGTTACATTGCCTTCGTAAAACGTATATGTTTGTACCCGATTCGCCTCCTCAGCCTTCGCAACGTCCAAGACGGCCCCAGGGGCTCCCAAGATCGCCCCAAGACAGCCGAAGAGGCCCCCAAGAAGGCTCCAAGACAGTCCCAGAGAGCCTCGAGACGGTTCGAAGAGACCCAAAATGACCAAGACGGCTTTCGGACTGCGCCAAGAGGGGCCCACGGGAAGAACCAGACTGGACATTTCGAACCCTCGGACCCCAGGACGCCCCGAAGAAGCTGCAGGAAGCTTCCAAGAGGCTCCAAGGGAGCCCATAAGAGCCTCACAACGCTCCTGGGCGCCGCCCTCAGGGCCTCCCAAGAGCCCCAAGAGCGACCCTGAGGCCCCCAAGAGGCCCACGGGCACGCGACCACCACCACGCAGCCCCAGTGATGCGGAGTGGGCTGGCGGAGTGAGCGAAGCGATTCAATGAGATGTGCCCTCAGGGTCGTGCTTCGGCGCGCATCCAGGCGAAGCAGCGTGTTCCCTCAGGACTCGCTGCTTCCCGCTGGATGCGAAAGTCGCTCTCGCACCCAGAGATGCTCGCATACAGATTCCCTCATCGAGACGTGCCATGACTAGAAGATGCACATACGAGGATCTTCGCGACGAGTAAGTATTCCTCGACACCTCCACCTCTTTCAAATTGTTCTCCCCCTCTTTTCTCCCGCCCTCTCCCCTGTCCCAGCTCCGACACATCCCCCTGGTTCCTCTTCCCCCCTCCTCCCTCCTCCCTCTGCTCCTTCTCGGTCGCAGAGCTGCTCCTGATACCCCCTCCTCCTCCCTCCTCCTCGTCCTCCACCCATCTGCCTCATCCTGCTTTTCCCTCTGCTTCTTCCCCACGACCCGTAAACGCACCGACGCTTGACGGCAGGAGGCTTCAGCAGACTCACGGCGGTCCGTTGTTGCTCCGGCCGTTCAGGGCTTCGTGGCAGCACCCTCACACGCCGCGTGCCCGCATAGGCGGCGAAGCGAGGAACGTCGGGCGCCCGCAGTTGGCCCCAAGGGGGGCACGGAGAAGGCGGCCTCACCGTGACTCGCGGCTGTACTGCCCGGATCTCTCGCCCAAATGTCGTGCCGTGCCGTGCGGCTGTGGTTGTCCGCCCGAGCTCCAGGGTGGGATAGCAAGTACAGTCGGGGCGTTGGCCCAAGGAACCCTACATAGGGAACGGGCCCACTTTTCGATGAGTTAGACGTCGATTACCCTTCGAAAACAGAAGGAAAACCTAAGGGAAGCTGCGAAACAGTTGAGGAACACGGAGCCCCTCCCCAACCAAAAAGGTTCCTTCTTCAGCGCCCCGACTGTGCAATGCTCGCGGGCTCGTCCCCCCTGTGGCGCGGTCTGCCGCTGGCGGCCGTCTGTCGCTCCCACGCATTCCGTCGAATCCGGCTCTGCGAACGAAGCACCAAAGAAAGGACACGCGAGAGGACACGAGACCCTTCCGGGGGCCACATTGACATAGGAATGCGAGAAGGCATGGGCCGCGAGGCACAGGACACAAGGGTAATTACCCTTGACTTGGCAGGGTCGACCTACTGATCCAGGCCGACTGTAGCCTTTTGGAAGCCTGCTGGAGGTGGAAGAAAGTTTCCGGAAAGGGGCGGGGAAGGAGGCGGAGAGAGGAGGGAGGGGAGGACGACGAGGTGTCCACAATCCTTTCGGAAGCGCGCTGGAGGTGGAGGGAGGTTTCCGGCAAGGAGCGGGGAAAGAGGAGGCGGAGAGAGGAAGAGGAGGATGAGGAGTGCGAAGGCAGACGTGGAGCCAGGGCGCCGAGGCAGGGGAGGAGGAGGGGATCTGCCTCGCATGCAGCAGTCTGCACCCATCACGACACAGTCCACCACCACGTCTTGACACACACGAGCTGCCCCCCGCACTCTACGCCCAAACAGCGGCGCTCGCAAGTCTCGCGGGGGCTTGGCCGGCCCTCTCCCACGAGGCAGCACGTGTGCCTCGCGGCACTCGCCACCGGGGGTCTCGGCCCCTTCCCGGGGCTGGCTCTTCCTCACGAGTCGTCGCTTGACTTGAGCAGGGACCGACCGTCCCGGCATTCCTATAGTCCTGCCACGAAGTGTTCTTAGAACCCAAGAGTGTTCTAAGAACAGAAACACTGTTCTTAGAACATGAGCCCGATGTGTTAAAACAAAATAGGCTCCGCCAGACATGTTCTCAGAACATGTCGTGGAAACCACAAAAAGGTTCTTAGAACATTGCTTGGTAGGGCTATCGGCGAGCCAGGACGCTTCGCCACTGCTTGACTGACCACGCCGGGGCCAGGAGCCAGCCCGCGGAGGCCGAGCACCAGGAACAACCCGCCGCCGCGCCTGTTGTCTCGGAGAAGCAGCCAACAAAAAAAAAACAGCACGAACCTCCGGAGATCCGCGCGGCTCCTGTGGATCGGCGCGGGGCCCTCCGCGCTGGCGGCGCGGCTTCCTTCGTTCCCGAATCATACGCTGGGTCAAAACGTCGGGGCGTTGACTGGAGGAACCCTGACTGGGGAGCGAGGCCCCTTTCTTTCACAAGTTGAACTTCGCTTCCCCATGGAAGACCTGAGGAGCACCCGAGGCAACGTCTGAAACAATCGGGGAACACCGACCCCCGCCCAAACGAAAAGGGTTCCTTCTCCAGCGCCCCGTCTACAGGGAGGAGGAGGAGGAGGAGGAGGAGGAGGAGGAGGAGGAGGAGGACGAGAACGCGGACGAGGAGGGAGAGGAGGACGAGGAGGAGGAGGAGGAGGAGGAGGAGATGGACGAGGACAAGGGCGAGGAGGAGGAGGAGGAGGAGGAGGGGGATTTTCGGAGGTCCGCGGCGCGGATCTCTCGGATCGGCGCGGGACGCCTCTCCCTGGGGCGCGGGGTGCGCCGGGGGCGACGCCGCTGGGGGCGCCCGACGTCGATCCAAGAAACACGACGCGGACCTCCGAGAGATAATACGTAGAATGGGTTCCGATCCTAGAAGTCGGCGGGGAGCTCCCGACATGCATGCTTACTTGGCGGCGCGCACGGGGGCAGGGGGAGGGGGGGGGAAGGCTTCTCTTAGCATGAAGCTGCTTCGTAGAAAGCGCTCGCCCTGCATCTGTAGGGAGGGCCCGCGCCTGGTAAGAAGCAGGGGTGCTTCTAAGAAGCCTTCCCCCCTCCCCCTGCCCCCCCATTGCGCTTCGCCGATGTCTGCGATTGTGTATTCTTCGATGCTTGCGACGCTTGGATCTCGGGCATTCGTAAATGGGGGTTTAGCTAAACGGGGGCTCAGGCTTTTCCAAATACCCCCGCTTTACTGCATCCCCGTCTACGGCACCCAGGGCTCCCTAAACGGGGGCATACCCCAAACGAAAAAAATCTGCCTTCCCCGTACCCCCGTTGGCTGTGCCCCCGTCTCTGGCGCCCTGGGGATCTGCGGGCAACGTCTCCTGGGCTGCAGGAGCCGTCCCCAACAGGCGCCCGCAGCAGCCCGCCGAACTGGGGGCCCGGCAGGCAGCAGACGCTGCCCGAGTGCCCCGCGTACGTGGAAAGGGGCTCGCCCACCTGCCGAGGCGGAGGAGGAGGAGGAGGAGGAGGAGGAGGAGGAGGAGGAGGAGGAGGAGGAGGAGGAGGAGGAGGAGGAGGAGGTGGAGGAGGAGGAGGAGGAGGAGGAGGAGGAGGAGGAGGCGGAGAAGGAGGAGGAGGAGAGGAGGAGGAGGGGGAGGAGGAGGAGGAGGAGGAGGAGGAGGAGGAGGAGAGAGGAGGAGGAGGAGGAGGAGGAGGAGGAGGAGGAGGAGGGGAGGAGGAGGACCCTGAGGAGGAGGAGGAGGAGGAGGAGGAGGAGGAGGAGGAGAAAGAGGAGGAGGAGGACCAGTGTAAACCCAAGATGCATCAACGATGTTGGAATAAACCCTCCCTCCGAGCTCGCTCTTCATAGGCACCTACAACGGTTCATTTTTTACTGAGGGAATTGCCTCGTTGGAAGACAACTGGTTGAAGAACCTGAAGCAAGCCAAAACATGGTTCTCGGGATTCCAACGCCACGGATCAACCTGACTGTTGCGTCTTTGCAAGCCTGGATCGTGCCAGAACGCCATTCCTGGGACTTGAACACCGCGAATCAGAATAACGTGTGCACCCCCATTAGCCTGGATATAAGGAGGGTCCCTTTCCTCTTCCACAACCCCTCCTCCCTTCGGGGGGGAACCCTCCCCCTCCCCTACCTGAGATGTTTTGGGAGGGATCGCGAGGTAGGACTCCTTGTTCAGCCATTGGGAGGGCCACTTGTTGCCACCCCTCACGAGGATCGTGGCCCCCGGGGGGGAGGGACGCAAATCGAGTACCCCCCCGTGTGTTGACCGACCGCCTCCAAGATGGCCCCAAGAGGCCCTCCAGGTCTCCTGGGAGGCCCCGAAGAGGGCCCAAATAGCGCCCTAAGAAGCCCCAAGAGGCCTTCAAAAAGCACCCGAGAGCCCCCAAGAGGCCCCCGAGCGGCCTCAGAGAACCCAAGATGACCTCCAAGATAGTCCAGATAGCCCAAGCTGGCTCGAGATGGCTACCAAAGTGCCCCAGACGGCCCCAACACCGCTCCAAGACGGCTCGAGATGGCCACGGAGCCTTCCAAGCCTCCCTCGGTGTTTGACTATGCGTGTCTCGTCCGTGGAGGAGGAGGAGGAGGAGGAGGAGGAGGAGGAGGAGGAGGGGGAGGAGGAGGAGGAGGAGGAGGAGGAGGAGGAGGAGTGGAGAGCGGGGAAGGACCGCAAACGCGCGACCAGGCGGTCATGGAGCTCTCCCGTGAGCCCACTTCACAGCGCTCCCTGCCTGTTTCCCTATCTACGATTCTCCCCCTCCTCCGCTCGCCATCCATCCCTCCTCCGCTCACCTTCCCTCGGTTCTCACCTCCATCCCTCGGCTCACCCCTGCCTCCCTCGTGCGCTCCTCCAGCCTGATGACCCATGCCTTGAGCCCCTCAGAGCTCCTCAGCCCGTGCCCTCCTCCGCGTCCCTCTCTTCCCTCTCCCGTTACGCCTGGCAACCCCTCTGTGCCGCTCCCTCTTGTTTTAGGTCGGGCGTGTCCTCCTACATGCGGATTTCGGACGAACAATCAACAATACACCGAAAATGCTCCCAAATAGCGGAAAATAATCAAAACATCGTCCCCAGAGTATTGTTTTATATGTTTTTGAATATTCCTCCTGTAGAGGGACAGGCCCGACTTAACCCTTGTTTCCATCCTCTCGCGCGCTCCTCACCTGGATCCCCGCCCTCGCCTCCCCTCCCTGGGAGGCCACCCAGATGGGGCCCGAGCAGGTGGCGTCCGAGGATCGCGCCGCATCGCCCACCGCCGATGCATCGGCTGTGTCGGCGACGTCGGGAGGGATAAAATAAGAATGCGAACCGAGCCCTATCGTTAGGTCGGGCGTGCCATAGTGGGGATTTTGGACGAAAAAAAAAACATGCTCCAACAATGCCCCAAACTATTCAAAAGTAAACAACAAATGGTCCCCAGACCATGTGTTTGCTATTTTTGAAAACTCCTCCTGTAGAGGGACAGGCCCGACTTAACCCAATCGACGAACGGCACGAGACACCGACCCGATCTTCTTCGACCCAAGTTGGGCGGCCTGGCTCTCTCCCCAAACCTCCCCCTGTGTTCCCTCCCCGCTCGAGGGTTGCTCGAAGTGCCCCGGGCCCAAGGTGCCCCCAGCTTTTCGCTGCAGTTTGGAGCTCCTGGGGCCCTCTGGGCCTCGGGATGGGGTGCTCTCGAGGCCGTGGGGCTAGAAAGCCCAAGGTTCGCCAGGGACTGGTTCCCCCCCAAAGCGATGGAAAAACCCTCCCCAGACCCTCCCCAGACCCTCCCGAAACCCTCCCCAGACCCTCCCGAAACCATCCTCAAAGCCTCGAGGGTTTTCGGAAAGTTTCGAGGGGGGGGTTCGGAAAGTTTCGAGGGGGGGTTCGGCTGTTTTGAGAGGCAGCCAGTCCCAAGCGAGCCCTGGACTTTGTAACCGTTGGGGGCAGGCCTGCCTGCCTTGAGCCGGGCGTCCCGAGGGACGCGTGGGCAGAAGAGCGCGCGATTGGCAACTCTTCAGGAGCACACGACCGAAAAGACGTTGCAGGGCGACTGCGTGCCCGCACAGACACGACTGCGAAGCAGAAGCGGAATGCCCCACGACTGCGTCGCGGAACCGCCGAGCACCTCACGACTGCGAGGCAGAACAGAAACAAAGCGCGTCACGACGTTGGGGCTCAGAGTGGAGGGAGACGGAGGGGGAGGAAAGCGGGAGGGAGGGAGGGGGAAGGGGGGGACGGGGGGGAAGGGAGGGAAGGGGAAGGGGGGGGCGGGAGGGAGGGGGAAGGGGAGGGAGACGGAGGGGAGGAAAGAGGGAGGGAGGGGGAAGGGGGGGGGGGGAGGGGGGGGAAGGGGGGGAAGGGGGGGGGGGGAGGGAGGGAGGGGGGAAGGGGGGGAGAAACATTGCTTCCCCTCCCCGTAGCGTCCCTGCGGGGGGGGAGGGTCGCACCCCCGTGGGGTGCTCAGAGGCAACGAGCGTGGGCGGGCCCTGCAGGCGGGGGGGACCTGGGCATCGGCCGATGACGACGACGACAACGACGAGGACGAGGAGAAGGACTAAGGCAAGGACGAGTAGGAGGAGGAGGAGGAGGAGGAGGAGGAGGAGGAGGAGGAGGAGGAGGAGGAGTTGGAGGACGACGACTAGAACGACGGCGGCGGCGGCGGCGACGACGACGACGACGGCCGCCACTGAAGGTCATCGGGAGTCTCCAGAGGCCTCAGGATGTCTCCGGAGGCCTCTGGAAGCGCCTGGAGGCCCAACGAGGCTCTCGGAAACGACGACGACTGAAGGTCATCGGGAGTCTCCAGAGGCCTCAGGATGTCTCCAGAGGTCTCTGGAGGCGTCTGGAGTCCCTTCGAGGCTCTCGAGAACGACGACGACGAGGAGGACAAGGACGAGGACGGTGACGACGACGAGAACGACGACAACAACGCCGACGCAGACGACAACGACGACGACCAGGACGAGGGCAAGGACGCCGAAAACGACGAGGACGAGGACGAGGACGACGAGGGCGACAGCAACGAGGACAACGACGACGACGACGTTGAGAAGAACTTGGGCGACGACGAGGACGGCCGCCTCTGAAGGCCTCCAGAGGTCTCCAGAGGCTTCGGGAGGTCTCTGGAGGCTTCTCTGGAGGCGTCTGGATGCCCTTCGAGGCCCGCGGAGACGACGACGACGACGATGACGACAAAAATTACCATAACGACGAAAACAATGACGACGACGACGACGAGGATGACGACGATGGCCGCCACCTCTGGGCGCGACCACGACGACGACGATGACGACGAGAACGACGGCGATGATGCCGCCGACGACGACGACGACAACGCTGACAACGATGATGACGACGATGGCCGCCACCTCTGCGACGACGACGACGAAGACGGCCGCATCTGAAGATCTCAAAAGGTCTCCAAAGGCTTCGGGAGGACTCTGGAAGCCTATGGCGGCGTCTCGAGGCCCTTCTGAGGCCCTCGGAGATGACGAGGGCGACGACCACATGGACGACGACGACAACGACGACAACGGCCGCCTCTGAAGGTCGCCAGAGGTCTCCGGAGGCCACAGGAGATCTTCGCAGGCCTCTGAAGGAGTCTGCAGACCCTTCGAGGCCATTCTCGACGACGACGATGACGACCGCGACGAGGCGACGACGATAACAACGATGACGATAACGATAACGACGATGACGACGATGACGACGCCGCCGACGACGAGAGGACGGCGACGTTGACAAGGACGAGAACGACGACGTGATCACCAGACCACGACAACGACGTTGGGGACGGCAACGACGACGACGACAAGGACGACGACGCCGACGCCGACGCCGACGCTGACGCCGATGGTGACGGTGTCGGTGACGGTGACGGTGACGACGACGACAGGACGGCGACGTTGACGAGGACGAGAACGACGACGTGATCACCACACCACGACAACGACGTTGGGGACGGCGACGACGACGACGAGGACGCCGACGCCGACGCCGACGGTGACGGTGACGGTGACGACGACGAGGACGCCCGCCAGCGGAGGCGTCTTCAGGCTACTCGATGCCTGTCAACACCACACCATACCCATGAGCACGGCGCCATAGCTGTTGGGGGGCAGACCCCCCACCTCCCAGCACATTCGTTACCATGACGGGGAGGGGGCGACCCCGTCACGGACCTTACGGGTTCCGCGAATGAACAGCAATACCATCCTGGGGGCACCTTGGGCCAGGGGCATGTTTCGTGCCCCGCAAAAGACTGAAGGGCCGGCTGGTTACGTCCGTCTTGACTGTGGCTTCCTGTCCCTCGTGCAACTGCTGGAGGAGGGGGAGGGGGAGGAGGAGATGGAGGAGGAGGAGGAGGAGGAAACGAGGAGGAGGAGGAGATGAGGAGGAGGAGGAGGAGGAAGCCATTTGGCCTCTTGCGGGCCAGCCGATCCCGATCGATCCATCGGGGTCGGTCGGCGCCTGCCGCCCGATCGATCGCGGTGG